ATGCTAATATGATGGCTTAGCAAGTTGTCGCGTATACGTATTCGGGGACGCGCCTTCTTGGTTACATGCACACTTTTAAAAAGAAAGGTCTCCAATATTCCCTAACTAAATACTGACCATTCACTCGTCCCATAAAGCACTAGCCTCTTAATAAGGGAAGGTAATAAAATGCAGGTTAGCGAAATTTACTAGATAGCTAGTAAGTGAATAGTGCTAAATTGAGTGGTTAGTACAATACTAATTTCTTAGAAACCCCTGCAAGTAAATGTCTACACCTATTTTGTTGAATGTACGTGTGCATTGTGATATCAAAATGATATGGCAACGGAAAATAATTAATGCCTTCGAACTAGGTCATGTAGCTATACCATGGTAAGTGCGCAGCAAAACAACACACTTATAGAGAAGTGACCCCACGATCATATGATCCAATCAGATTTACATATGATCGTACATATGTGAATCTCATGTTCATATGCCCTCATATGAGCATATGATATGCTCATATGAGTTCTTATACTCACAGGATTATATGCTCATATGAGTATGAGAACTCATCAGAACAAATCACGAGGACACGCACGCAAACGGAGGCACAAATAAATCTTCAAGACTTGGACATAGAAGAATTCTACTGTAGCAGCAGATTGAACGCTATATATACCCTTGCTTTGGAATCACAACCCGCGTACTGGTTAACAGTAACAAAGTTTGTAAGATTATTGTTGTTTTTTATGCATAATCGTATCGCCTATTTGGTTATGTGTGTGCCATCACGTATCACAAAACTTCTGTTCCAAGATAGTCAATAAAATTAGAGTTTGCCTAAGTTTTGCTTATGATGTCATCATTACAGCAAAAAGGACTGTAGCATCTACAAAAGATCGGTAACGTAGGTGGCTTAGTAGTTCCTTATTTAAAAACACTGTGAAAGGTTTTTTGGTTAGTAACGGCTAAAATTACTAGCTGTACTAGCTTGTAGCTAGTGAACTACACCGCAGAGGTATTGAAATGCTCAAAAAACTAGTAAATCAGGCGTTTACTAACTGATTATTCACATTTTTTCCAAGAGTGTGGGATCGCCTTTTTTGGCTGGCTACCCCAACCAATGTTTACAAAACTATTGCATATCTCTCTGTACGGTTCAGCTTGTACACCAGTTCATCGTTCATACAGTTCACACAGCCCACAGTTCATAATTTTCAAATGTGTGATGTGCTGACCCATAGACCTTTGCGGTAGGTTTTCAGGAAAAGACACCACTGTGTGTAAGCAGGGGAAAGAATTGCAGAAAAGGTGGGGAGGTGATATGTGGCGAGACTGCGCTCAAGCTGGTATACGAAACTTGCAATAAACACAAGCATCGCACCGGCATCAATATGCATCACAACTTAGATAAACACTTTTTCGAATGTTCGTACGAGTCGCCCACGGTGGCAGAAGCAGAAACTAAGTGAAGGACGGGGACACAGCAAGTGGCTGAGGCGCCATCGAGGGCTAAAAATTCCCAAGTTGTAATGTGGGTATGCCGCCACCATATTGTTCCGCTAGACGAATACGATGGTATAGAGCCATGGTTACGCGAAGAATAGCGAAAACCTTTGGTGCAACACAGTCTATGTAAGGACAGAATCATAGTGGGTGCATTGCTTATACATGTGTTTATAATCAGCCAAGGTGATTTAATTTACTGCTCCATTGTTAAATTCGAGGGTCTGACTTACTAATGTTTGACGTGTTAAAAAATGAGCACATGAACAAAATTATGCTCTATTTTCAAAAAAGACGTAAATCCCATCAGTGAAAAACGCGCTCAAATCTAATACCGTTTCATTCCTATAAGGTGTGTTGCCATTTCATTGCCATTCCGTCTCAGTGTCGGAAAAATGTGAAATTATTCTGAATTCATTCCAATTCCCGAGTGGCAACTACGCAACACTGCTTTTATGTAGTCACGTCTTATCTAACTGTGCTGTACAGTCACATCAAACACTGTGAAAGGGTAAACCATACCCTGTTTCAGTCTTAATTGATAAATAATTTCACCTTGGTTGTTTGTACAATGGCCTGCCTGACGTAAACAGACCTTGCCGCAGCTCAGGGCGGATTCGTAAACAGTGTGCACGGCCTAACGCAGAAAAGGCTTTACAGGCTTTTTGTTGAACGCCGCTTTAGCACCTTTCGAAGGAATGCGGGGAAAAAGCCTCGAAAGCTAATCCGGAGCATAGGATAGTACGACAGGCACATGGTGCCACTTAGCAACTTTTTTCTTGGTTGTGGGATATTTTGTGCACGCATGGCCCAACATGTGGTTTTTCCTCTGTCCATGCAGTGATTCTGACCTCCTTCTTTCCCCTTTTAGCCTGTGAGGCAATGTTTTAGACACGCGGACTAAGACCAAATAAGACAACTCGATTGCAGAAAGTCACAATAAATAACAAGAACAGCTATAAGACACTGTGTGCTTGCATAATTTGGACAGCGCAAAACATAAACACATTGCAAGTAAAGCCTTTGTAACCACCATTGAATGCGCGAATTCATATGACAATTTTTTTCTTGTTATAGGTCAAAACTTCTAATTGACATGACTCCCGCTTACATTCAACGTAATGTCTAAAACTGCAAACTTTTGTCATTGAGCAGGTCATGGGTAACGGACAAGCCTTCTTCATGTGGGAACAGAATAAAAATAAATCTACCTCTCTACAGTGCGTTACAGGGTTGGTAGAATTCAAATCCGCCCCGCCGCGGTGGTCTAGTGGCTAAGGTACTCGGCTGCTGACCCGCAGGTCGCGGGTTCAAATCCCGGCTGCAGCGGCTGCATTTCCGATGGAGGCGGAAATGTTGTAGGCCCGTGTGCTCAGATTTGGGTGCACGTTAATGAACCCCAGGTGGTCAAAATTTCCGGAGTCCTCCACTACGGCGTCTCTCATAATCATATGGTGGTTTTGGGACTTTAAACCCCACAAATCAATCATCAAGAATTTAAATCCACCAAGAAATTGTCCTCATACTTACAAATATATGGTAATTGGTCTGTCAACTGCACCGGCTAAACAACGGTCAATAGATGGAAAAATATCCCACACAAAATGGGTGCAACGCAGGAGACAACACTAACGTCCTTTCTTCTAATAAACAAATGACTAATGGAGGTAAAAAGTGCTACGAAGTAAAATTCAAAAGATGACATAAAGTTGGTAACGGATACGCCAAAAGTATCCATTGTACTCCCATGTTGATCAATACATGCCCTTACGCGAGGTAAAAGCTCAATATAGGGTACTGAATAAAAACGATCCCCAACGTCAATCTAAAAACGACAATTGTTACTTGTGTTTTTTAAGAAATCTGGGAGGACACAAAAGCATTTTATAGGGAATGAGTCTACAAACGTGGACAGTATTTCAATTTTTTAACAAATACTGATTCACATGCAGCTGCCAAGAATAGCTTTTCTCACAATTGACCCAAACGGTATGTCATCTTTATGCGTTTCTACATTGAAAAAGACTTGCTAGCTAATAACTTTGCACTCATAATTTGATTTTGCAAGACTTACCTAATTAAAACTTTTCCACAGTTCAATGGCACGGCAACTTTCAAAGCGACGAGCTTCGACGCTTTTACCGCTGTAGGAAAAAAAATCTTTGTAATAGTATGACTGGCTTTGTCTTTGAAAGTGGAAGTAAAAATAATCACAACACCACCTTCTTTGTCGGCCTGAAGAAGGGAAAGGTCATGCTCCTTAAAGAATGAGACAACCCCCCCCCCCTCTTGGTCAACTTGCACGGGTATTGCTACCGTTCCTCAAGAGTGATTCCGCACGTTTAAGCAGGCAAAGCTCGCAATTTTCCTCCTCAGCACTCCGGGAAATACTTTGGTTCAGAGTTAGCAGTTCGAACCCAGGTTAGTATATGTTTTCCACATCATGACATAACCAATCTGCGCTTGAATTATGCAAATTTGCATTTTGGCATATCGCGGAAAATATTCGTATGAAGCATCTCGGCAGGTATACTTGCCAGGGAAAGCACGCCGTATCAGCGTCTGCGTGCCGGTTGGGCGTTATATTAACTTTCGCACTCCATTGCGATTTTTATCCCAGGGTGTGCCCGACTTGCTTACATACCAGCGGCGTCAATTCAGCGCCGAGAACGTAAATTACTCCCCTCATACCCCTAGCATTACCAAAATGCAGTATTAAAGTCACGTTCTGAATATCCAGAATTTTCTAGATCTATGCAAGATGTGGAAATTGCACTACAATGATGTGTGTCCGCCTCAAATTAGGTTGTTTCAAGTAATGCCCCAAGCTCCTATTCAAAGGCATTTTCGAAAACATCTTAACAATATATCCAAATTACTTCATTGTACTCATGTGATAGTGGTTAAATATGAGCGCATCGCCTAAAAACTTCATAAGCAAAACAGCAACGTCATTTCTGCACAGATCAATTTTTAAAAGAATCTCGACAGTAAAATAAAAAATACCATGTGTAATGGGTTGGTGTGCATTGCGCCTATTCGCTCTAAAAGCAATGAATTTTTGGGAATCCTATATATGAGGCATTTCTCTCATGACAGTGTTGAATTTGGTTAGACATTCTTGCGTGGCAGAGAATTGATTCAGAAGCATTAATGTTGCTGTTTCCTTGCGGAAGTAGCTATGCGATAACGTAAAATTGTTGTAGTAGTAACCATCTTGCGTAGTCTCTCTTTTGTTCTCTCTTCGAGTTCAGGGTAGCAGACTTCAGCCAGGAGCCTCATACGACATCTCTCGGCTCTGCTCCTCATTAATGGCAACAATAAAATACGCAAGAATTGATAGATATTATGTTAAAAATTTTCATATGACCAGGGGTAGATTTGGTGTGGTTGTAACTGAGACTTTACGCAGCAGTTCGGATTTAGTATTTGGGTTCTTCCGTGCACGTTCTTAGTGCAGTACGTTTTCGCCGATCTAGATTTAATTTTGCTCATTTCCTTGCTTGCAGGGTCATTTGCGGCTAGTCAATGCTCTCTCCCAGATGTACTCACGCTTAATCGGCCGAGATATTGACCCAGAAGAGGAAGTGCTTGTGACTGTCGGTGCCACGGAAGCCCTCTACACAACATTCTTTGGCCTTTTAAATCCTGGGGAAGAGGTTAGTGTGAAATTATTTGTAATACTGGGTGGTCATTGTCAATGTTGTTTGCTGTTTTCTCTCCTACAACCCCTGAACAATCCCCACAATTCCAGTACGGTTCCGCAATAGTACACCACCTGTCACCCGCCAAGAAGTGCAGTTTCATCGTGGACTGTATTTTCGTAGCCATTGTAAAAAGCCTTGTTTGACCTCATTCCATGTTGCGCAAACTACGTTCGACGCACGAGGCAACAGATGCGCGTTCTAACATTCCGCGAGTTCCCACTGATAATTTGTTATTTGAACATGCGGAAGCATTGTGATTTACGTTCAGAGCAGCAATGGGATAGTGAATTGGCATAAATAAGGTTGTCGAAAGTAAGTTGAACCCGGTATTATAAGTGAGTAAACAGAAGAAATAGACGTATAAATGTGGTTGATCCCTCTTTCTTAGCATCGGTAAATACAAAAGTGAAACATGTCTTCACAGAGGTAGTTGAGCATTGATTGTGCATTCTTTCGCTGCAAGGCTGAAGAAATGAATGTTACAGCAGCAAATTGCGGTCACATGAAAAATACAAGCAGATTGAAAGATGAAGCAGGCACAACATACAGAAAGCTCGCACGAAATGAGCATATGCAGGACAAACGCGGACTAGCAACTTTCACAGCTTTATACTTAAAGCGTGCTGTATAAACAAAAAAGGCGTATGAATAAACGCACATGTAACCCCGGACAAGCCGGAACGACTGTCAATCGATACTTCTTCGTGTGAGCAGCGTGCTACTATTTTAAATGAGGCCGCGGCAGCGAGCGAAGTGACCATCGTGCTCTCTGGAAACAGGAGTCGGATAAGCGCGCGTAGGAGAGACCGCTCCGTCGAGGCGGCATTTTCCGAAACGCGAGTGGCGATAACAAGCGGGCACAACGCGCTCTTTAAGCGCCATCTGGCTACTTATGGCGGAAACGAGCACAAGCTGCGGAGCTCTGAGGACAGCCGAATTGCATATGGTGTATATAAATCACTTGCTGTTAGCAGCCATGATTACATGCGCAATGTGGTGTAATGGTTAGCGCCGCGCACTGATGAGAGGTCCATGGTTTGGCGCCCCATGGCAGAGCTCTTGCGTATCTTTTTTTATGCAATCTCTTGTACATATTTTACGTCACATCTGTTATGCAAATACGTCAGTGGAGCCATAGTGGCCCCCGCATGAAAACAATGTCATGTTAAAAAAAGGTAAAACTAAGTACAGCCAAGCAAATTACCTACGCTATTGAAAATCCTGGGTTGGTGGATGCTGGAATTGCTGGCAGATATGGCGGAAAGAATAGTAGATATGGTGGAAATAATAGTGGATATGGTGCAAGCTGTAGTGGTTACACTGTATGATGACGGCGAGAGTGAAAAAAAATGGGGGCAGACGGTGGTGGTAGTAGCGAGCCACTGATGGTGACAGTGAAAAATGTCGGCTGATGAAGGTGACGCAAAACGTGTTTGGTGAATGGGTTGGTAAGCAAGCGTAATGACGGTGACGTGTTATAAGCTTGGTGGATTATGGTGGCATAATCATGGTGAATCAGGTTGGCATGGTGGCATGAAAAAGCACATGGTAGTGTGTAAAATTACTTTTTGTAGTGTTTCACTGTGGAATTTGCAGAAAAACATGTTTACGGTCATCGAAAGAAAGCAACGCTGGTCATTACGCATTGTAGTACTTTTTTTTCATTCCTACGGTGTCAACAACGCTACAGTTTTTGTGGAGCGTAGATTGCGGCAGTGATTGCTCACATTCCATGCATGTACTTACATCAGTTTGACATGCGTGTGATGTGCTTCTTTGTTGCAACGCTTACAAGATTGGAGGTGTCGCTGCCAACAGTGACAGCAAATGTGTTACATTGCCATGCATTTGTCGAGAAATAAATGAACTTTAGTTCGCAATTGCCAGTTTCAACAGTAGGCGAGAATAAAGCGGTCACCGGATGTCGCCACGCTAGAAACCCGATTCCTGCACACTCAATTACTTTAGTCGTACTTTTAAGTTAACAAAGTGCATGCGCCACTAAAATGTACAACTTTTATCTTTGATTTTCCTCGAGCCCTAGTGAGTGTCATTTCCAACCGTCTGTTCTACCACCATGATTTCCACCGAAGGTTAGGCCTATCGACCGTGCCCGTACAAGTGCCATTGGTGCTTCTGAATTTCAGAATACACGATTCTGATGAGTAAGAATGACAATACAGCACGGCCGTGCCATCATTTACCATGGATTCAGAATTTCTTTTATTGTGTACCGTGTTTGCGCAAGAACCGGCGAACATCGATAAGACGCGGTTCCAGCACTTTCAACAAACGTACTCCTGCGCTCCCCAACAGCTACCGGTCGCACACGCGCCGGCACTTCTCTGACTATTATGCGAGAACACATGACTTGCATTTCGTATGCTTACTGAACATACTGAACAAATATAATAAGAAAATGTTTCGGGTACACTGCATTCGTTTTCGCCAGGCTGTTATGTAGTTGTTGCTAACGGTATAGCTGTACAGCAGTGCACGGGCATGACTGCGCCATACGTTGCGCGAAAAAAACATCACAATGCTAAATCAATTGTGTTCCTGCATTTATCAAATGAGCCTAGAGGCATCATAAAATCTGTGAATATGTCACCCTTTCGAATGAGTGAGAAACGGATATAAAACATGACAGTAACCGCAGGTAAACTGCACCTGCTCCTCAGTCCACTTAATTCCTTTTACGCGGCGGTGAATTGTAATGAAAACATAGCGCTTTTGCTATTATTGTAGTGGCAATCGTTACAGGGAGCAGTTGTTTGTGTTTAATAAGTGTGCACATTTTAGTAGCTGGTGCAGATCCCGTCTATCTAGAGTACGCGACATTCAGAACTGAAGTTCAATGGTCATTTAGTAAGCTGATTAGTGTTTTTAAAGGGAGCATTGCAGACGCAGCTTAACATGCAACAAACCCGAGAAACCATAGACCGCGTTTTTTGCACTGTTGGGAATGGGTATATTTTTTGGACATCTTGCAGCGAACATCAATGAAATATTTCCCGTTGAATTCACATCAAAGAAGGTATCTGACTGTAGATAATGAACGCGTCCCTTTGGATTTGGTAATGTTCACGGCCCTCCACTGTATATGGTGGGCTCGCATGGCAGGATACTACTGCGACCCAGACGCTAAGCCCAGGGAATTTATTTCAGACAAAGCATGTCTAGCTTGGTTGCAATTGTGAAAATTCAGAAAGAATCGGTACCTGAATGGCTGCCGGTAATGGAACTTTTGGAATCAATAAAAAAAAGTTAAAATCGTCAATATCAGTCCAAACAGGACTGATAGCATAATTTTTTCTAATATAATATGTACTATCTGATGTCAAGTTTGTAATTTAACCAAAATAGGCAATAAATAAAAAAATCAGCATGGCTCAGAAGTTAGTGTGTTCAGTTGAGAATCCGCAGCATGCATGTTCGAATTCTCGTGATCGCGTTTTTCCTACGGTTACTGTTTGCGTCTTTTTCCACAATATTACGTTTTTTGTGTGTAGGGCAGCTCGTCATGGTGATTCTGACATCGTTTCGTGCTCCAGCATCACCGGCACTCCCACATCCACCATGCGCCACCCTACAGCATGCGCCACCAATAATTCCAGCACTATAATCCACCACAATTATAGACGGTTGAATGCACTGTTCTCGTATATATATATATATATATATATATATATATATATATATATATATATATATATATATATATATATAGCCAGTATAGGAATACGTTTAAGGGCATAGAATGGTCAGTATGAAATACGGCATTTTAGAGTTGTATTGCAAGTCGAAAAAATCTGTATTCCAACGTGTTAGTGAGCACAAAAACCGAAAAAAGAAAGGAGGTTCAGATTCAGGGCCTGGGAAATATGACTAATTATCTTTGGTAAGCCTTTTACGACAGCATTTTAAAAGTAATGCAGGAAATTATTTTTAAGTCGGAAAAATTTGAGTGATTCCATTTCATAGCTCTGCAAGATTAGTTAGAGTTTCGGGAATTGCAGTGTATCTGTGATTGAACTAGAAATGCATGATTCAATGCAAATGAAATAAGATTTTTATGCACAAATTCACTTAAATCTTTTTCTACTGGTTGTATGAATAACACACCATGGATACGTGGCGAGCTAATGTTTTACATACGAGAATGTTAGCATCGCATGGGATATTAGTTAAAACGTCAAGCTAGTACATTAGTTTTAAAATATTCTCTCTTGTTCACGCATTTTTTTGTGGGTGGACAGAACAAGGTTTTTCTCTGAAAGTAAACCTCAATATTTTGTTACCCACGTACGCCTCATGCAGATTCCTGCAAGGAAGCGTGCACTGTTACGGTAGGGGGGATTTTGTGCGAGTGGGCTTTAATTTTAGCGACCAATATTATACAAATGAGCAAAATGCTTCTTAATAAACAGTTCACCGCAAGCAACTGCAATAATATTTAAATATGTATATACATCTATTCTGTTTAGCAAAGCAGTAAAGTTGGGTATGCTTTATCGGTTTTCCAAAATGGGTAGCAAAGGCACAGTACAGGTACCAAACGTTATATCACTTTATTTGCAACATAGGTTTTGTTTTTCCTCGAGGCTTTCATCCATAAGTTTGCTGGTAGAGATAGATATGAACAAAATCATTCATTTCATTCTGTGATGTTCACCTCTTAATGTTTTATTACCTAAAAAAACAGATTATTTTGATTTTACTAAGGCATGTTAATTTGTATCTTTTACTAGATTGCGTACTTTTGTCTTTCTCATATATTTTCGTATGAATATGTAATTAAAAGTACTTGCTTTTTACTTTCACAAAGCTATTCCAACTAGCCTAAAATCTAATTCACAACTCTCACGCAGGTAATCATGATCGAACCCTTCTTCCCACTCTATGAGCAGCAGGCAGTGTTGGCAGGAGGAGTGCCAGTCTTCATTCCCCTTCGCCCTGTAAGATTGTTCACTGATATTACAAAATATTTCTGTTGAAGTTGATCACTTGTTTCCTGAAAAATAACCAATAGTTTCATTTCAATGCCAGTTGATCAATTTAGGCAATAAAGTTGCTCTTCTTTTGACCTTAGGATGAACTCTTGGGATTTAGGCTAAGAAACCTATTTTTACAGACAAGGCGTAAATAACCAGTTAGTTGGAAAAAGTAGAAACACAAAAAAGCAAATTTGTAAATCTGCATCGAAAGCAAAAAAAAAAAGCCATCACAGTTCTTGAAACTGCAGGTGTTAGAATCTAGAGCAAATAACTAACATTCGAAGTCACAGCTTACGTAAATCCTACGTATGATTGTCAAAAAAAATACCATAAAACAATTCGATCATCATAATTTGACATTTATTTTTTTTTATATGCACGCTTGATGATTTTATTGTAGTATCAGTATTTTTGTTCATGCAATGTTTAATTGCTGCTGTATTTGTTCCACTCGATATAGGCTCCCACTTGTGGTCGTGTTGGTGGTTTTTTCTATATATCTTTATTCTATTGTACGGTATCGTATCAAGAGTGGCTACTTGGGCTGGTTGGTAATGCATTTTTTAGAGAAATACGCTTTCTCAGTGCGCAGAGAACGTTTTAAGAAAGAATACAGATAGGATTGCACTCTGTCCTATCTGTCTTCTTTCTAAAAACCTTTTCTGTGCACTAAGAAAGTGATTTTTTTCACAAATATCATACCAAACTTTCGTACGTGGTGACACTTGCTAACTTTCACGTATATATATATTCCTGTTTTTTCTGACTGTTATAACGATATCACTGAAAGGAAAATGCAGAAATAGGCTACTCAGGAAGTTTACACTGGTTTTCAAAAGCCTCGAACCACATTATTAGTACATCTAAAAATGCAATATGCCCGATTTGTATACGCAGTTGAGACACCACCTGTATCAAAGGGCATATTTCTTAGAATTGAGTTACGGTGTTTCATGGATTATTATATGATCATAGACTTGATAATTCTGTTTCTTGAAAAGTTGTCACATTCATCAACTTTCATAAAAATTGTGATGACGTAAAAACATATGTGTGGAAAGCGTATTTTAAAATACGCTTTCCACAGATTTGTTTTTTTAGTTTAAGAAACTTGCAATATTTCTTAAAATGTTTTCTGATTTCCGCATACCATTATATAGGAGTCCCAATATCAGTACTTTTTTTACGCTGGATGCGAGTTTTCGGTGCAAATATATCAATTTTTATGAAAAAATACTGCTCTCAGGACACTTGTGCGATGTCTGCAACGTTGCATTCTCAGGTCGTCATGTTTCGTGCACCAACTGCCTGCTTCCCAAAAGAAAATTTTTTTTGATAAACACCGTAAACTTTAACGGATAGTGACAGAAGACACTTCGTGGATTCATTATATGTGCAACGAATCACGAATAGGTCGCCGGGTTTTAATGCATATTCATATCTGAAGAAAACGAAGCCTGGAACTAACGCCAGCCTGCTGCCTTAGGTTTGTAAAAATGTGTCGTTAAAGGGCCACTCACCAGAATCCCAAATTACAAAAAAAGAGCGCTATATTCTTTCCTAATATTTCTCGTCTTCCTTGGCACACTACTGTGACGAATACAGTAGTTCCCGTGACGTCTGCAGCGTGCATGCCCTTGATTCGTTGATATATGCGAAATATCACATGTGATTCATCTTATGCACTGTATTGCCATGCAGCCGCCTATTCATTCTTCTTTTTCTCGCATGAACAAAGTGCACAATAAACTGATGAAACTTCCCTTTAGTGTTTACAACTGCGCAAGCGGCAATAACAGCGTGCAGCCGAGAAGCGCGAAATCTTGCTATGCTCTAATGCTTAGTGCTAATATAGTTCACATGCATTCAACAACTATAGGGCGAGGAGGATTCATTGTGTGTATGAAAGAGAGCAGAAAATCACCCCCTCGTCTTTGAACGCGGGATAATGAGTGGCCCTATAGAGGTTGAGATTATAGCTCGAGTGGAAGATCATTCGCACTCGGCATACCCATATGGTAGTTCTTTAATAATATATATAGAAAGAGCTCGTGTCACTGCGCTTAGCCAGTGTTTGTAACAAAAGCCTCTTTTTTTCCGTTGGGCGAGACAGTTCCATTTCTCTTATGCTCCAGATATTTAAAAAAAGCGCATCTTGAAATAAGCCGCGGAAGGTTGGGTCTCACCAGAGCAGGTGGGAACCAAGCTAATCTTGCCATGGCTAGGCTCTTACTTTCCCACCTCTCTGTTTGCTGCGTGCTTTCATTTGTATTTGCTTCCATTTTCTTCTCTGTGTCTATTTCTTTCTCTGTCTACGTACCATTCTTTTTCCTTGCTTTCTGTCTACTTTTCTCTTTCCCAATTTTCAACGTCTTTTTTTTTCTTTCTCACAATAATCACCAACTCTCCTGTTATCTTTTTCTCTCTTTCTTTGTTTTCCTTATATTTTTCTCCCTCTCTGTGTACTACTTTTCCTCTCCTTCTTCCATCCTATTCACCCTCTAATGTGTCCTCTTCATGGTCACTTCCCTTTTCCACCCCGTTCTTGTATTCTTAAATGCAAAGCTATGCTATGCTCTGCTCTCGTGCCTCGATAACCGAGGGGATAAGACGCTCTCCTTTGGATTGTGGCTACGCGAGCTCGGATCTCGCCTCACCAGGATTTTTTTTTCTCAAAAAATTTCTATTTTTTCAATAATAGTTCTCTCGTGTTATTTTCCTTTCTCTTTACTCGTTTTCTCGCTAATCAGAGTTGATTACATACGGCGACGAACAAATGAGCACACGTGTTCCGAGAGTGAAGCAGAAGTTCAAAATAAGACGGCGATAAAAAAAAGAGGACGAGGAAGTGCATGCTGGTTGATGATGACAAGTTCTGTTCATTCCGAACGAATTAACTAAACAGCTGAGTTATTTGAAACAGACACTTCACACCATGTAAATCTATCTATATTCCTTCTCATGCCCTACAGGAATAGTGACAGGAAAAAGACATATATTTTTTGTGCAAGAATTGTGTGCACTCCTGGCAATCATGAAGAGGGAGTAGTAAAGGTACACTCTCTTTGTAATATTTACGTCGCAATAAAATACTAAATATACCACATCATAAACCATACTGTTTAAGCAATGACTCAATTTTGAGGACGTTCAATTTATACGCCAGTATAATCAAAAGCCCATATAGAGTCACAAGTGAGAGTGCTCGATTACTTCACCGATTGCACTATTAAGGTCTGCCACGCCCCGAACACCATTTATTGACAAAAATTATATGCATGAGTGCACTACAAGTACACCTGGTAACCTACAACACGTTGCAACTTGTAGAAAACACTACTAATGTTGGTGGAAATTTTTTAGAGAATTTTAAACGGATGTTCAGAGTTTATTTCCAAGGAGGGGCTACAAAATTGATGTTCAAGAGCCCTATGGAGCATTCCCCAATAATTCGACCTACTTTGAGCAATTTATGTTTTTTTGAACTTTATATTTCGTCCTGTTGGAAAAGAAAAAAGCACCGTTTTTAATTTGTGCCAAGGTAACATCTCTTCGTGAATTTCTTATTAGACACCATCTAAATTACCAGCGAGGCATGTCGTGTCAGTTTTTGCAACATTCGCCATTATCCTAGGTACCACTCTGTTGAGCGGTGAGTGTTTCATGAAACAACATATTTTTGAATCCTTCGCACATAATTTCAGAATGATGTGCAGTACAAAGCTTTAAGGCGTTTCTTCGTGAATCTAATACATGATTCTTGTTTTGCTTTGCCCTGACAATTTTTTCAGTGTAAGCAGGGCATGATTTCCAGTGCTGACTGGATTCTGGATCCGAAGGAGCTCGCTTCCAAGTTCAATTTTAAAACAAAGATGATCGTCGTCAACAACCCAAACAATCCACTCGGGAAGGTCAGTTCTTGCGCATGGTAAATAAGGCACATATTTACTCAATCGGTAAATGTTAAGTCATTATAGAGGTAATAACACACATTTTTGTTTTGGATTTGTTCCGGTGTAAAATACCATGTTTTTGCATAGAAACAAAGGGAATGACGATGAATAAAGAGTGAGACGAATATGTGTGCTTCTTCCTAGTATGCAGCCTTCATTTGCCATCTTTCTAGAACTCCAGGTTTTTCACAGAGTGTGATGTTTAGGAAAATTTACCGCGACTGCAGCTAATTTTTCCTCCACTTTTTTCCCTATTTATTGAGTTCTTGTATATTCTAATATTTTCGTTTCTTTTTTCACTTCAACATTTCAAACAAAACAGCCAATAATTTACCTTGGCTTTTCTTGGCTTCAGTATATGTTGGCACAGTATAGATGTAGCTAACGGCCAGGAAATCGGGGTAAAAAGAACAACTAAACACAAACAAATAGAGCCAAGAAAATAATCTCTTTTTTTCGTATCCACGTGATTTTTTACCCTTGCATAATCAACTCTCGATTATTAGCTAGTAGGTATTTTTCTTTCATATTTTCATGGTTCCTATCCCCGTACTCAAACCGTATTGGGCTCCTTAACTCTTGAAGTTGTTCTATAAGGATGTGAATAAATGCATAAATAAATGATGAAATAACAAACCTTTACTGCTAAAGTAAATAAAAGTAGACTAAAGTTATAAAACTACGTTGTAGTTGCTGTGCTTGTACCTAATGGCTGCAGAATAGCAAGTTTTCTCCAATGTGTCATTAACTTCTTTCGTTTAGTTACCTGCAAATGGTGGTGGTCAGGTTATTGACACGTGCTCTTTAATCTTCATTAGAATACGGCGCACCTGGCTTGCTGTGATGTTCTTACGACGCAATAATTCAAGCACTTAAATTTTTTGACAACTATTGTTCAGCATTTTTTGTGGAAAAAGCAATATTTGTGTTAGTGTGAGATCCATTAGCGCGTCCCTTCATTCTAATGTAGTACCATCACTCGAATAAATTTTGATACGCTGTTCTTTGATGTTATTCCTTCTTAATGCAAGCATAAAAAGAAATATGTCAGCTTTTTACTCTAGTACATGTGCTTTGGTAGTGCCCTACGTTGCGAAATACGCCACACACCAGCTAACAGGACTGGAAAGAAGTCATCTCAAGTAGAACACTTGAAGGGGCCCTGCAACACTTTTTGAGCATGGTCAGAAAACGATGCCGACCGGTAGTAGAGGCTCCCGACAACACGCGAGCCAAATATTATAGCACAGCACGCAGCCTAGAATTCACAATAAATTACCAAAGTCAACTAAACATTGCCTTTATTCTCTCGACAAATCACTCAATATGCCCAAAAATCTCACGTATTAAGGCGATCTATCAGTCAATGGCTGATTTCAACAATGTGCGCGGGCTAGTTACAGAGATCGGCACGGGAGGCCGCTACTTGTCCACGCGTGCGAGCGCAATCACACTGAGCAGCGGCGCATTCGAAGACAAAACACAAAAAGAAACAATGCTGAAGGTCACGAGGCGCGGATTACGTGTTTTGTCTGCCCCTCCCATTCCTCCCTGCTTATTTTTCTGAGCGTTTGTCGGGACGAGAGAAGAGACAATGTAATTGAAGAATGCGACAAACCTTTTGAACGGCACTCACACTGGAAGAATTCTTAAAATTTTGTGGCGTTGAGTTCATGATGCAATAGGCTCTTCCAGTAAATTCATTCCATGGTTACTTGAAAAAAGTGTTTCAGGGCCCCTTTAATACCGAGCCAACGGCCATCAATAGGGCCCGTGAAAGAGCAGACACGCATGGACTCCACATACCGACATGGGAGCAGCGAGTGGTCAGCAGATAGCCTTTCCAGCGGGTCATTTCCCGGCTGGGCCATCAGAACTTCATTAATGTTTATTGGCTATCTGACAGCTTTCACCATAATCTTGTATTTTAAACTGCGCAGGTTTTCTCACGTGAAGAGCTACAACTTATTGCGGAGCTGTGCAAACAACACAATGTTATCTGCCTAATGGACGAAGTTTACGAATGGATTCTTTACGAAGGCATTGAACTCGTTAGAATGAGTAAGTATAAGGTAAATAATGCAAAGCTCACTGAAGAGGCACGCAAACAAACACGATGTCCAGTCATCTAAGAATATTCCTTCAACGAAGCAGAAGTACTTGGTGTGTTCTGCCTGGACACCATGTAGCCGAAGGCTCCCGCGAACAAACTTTTGCCACGGTGTGTCAATTAAAACACCCAAGTTTCAGTTCGTAAGCAATCTGTTCGTTTTGCATTCATCGAAATGGAGCCGTGATTTAACCAGACAATTCAGGACCGGGTACTTCGTCATCATAAGGCTATATAAGAATTGAGCGGACAGGACGGATAAAACATTTCTGCCACTCGTGCTTAAGCCCAAGTGGCAGAAATATTTTATTCCTCTCATTTCATCTTGGTTCAGTGTCAGCTGAAACAAAGAAAACATAATTGTTCACAAACCAGGCAAAACATTAACCTTGTTGGCTAGTCCTTCCGGAATCGTGCCTTTATTCTTTCGGTTGTTATGTTTATGGCAACTGGCACGTAGTCCACCTGGCTCTGTTAGACGTATCATAATAAGGTCCAGGTGGACACATTGTACGTGGGCAGCAGAATTTTGCAGTTTAATATTACTACTGGAAATCCCTGGAAATGGTCTATGCGAGCACCCGAAGGCAGGCATTTTCCTAAGTCGAATCGCCATTGTGCAGCAATCGTTCCAGCGACTCAGACCTTTCTTATATATAGCGAGTACACCAGGCAACTACATCAAAGGGGTAAATTATTTCCAATAGTGCTACAGCTGTGATAGTGAAAAGTCAAATTACGTTAGCCATTATATTGTAAATATTGTCACAAGGTCGTCACATTGACGAAGGCAGCAGTATTGTTGTTCATATGAAACTGTTTATTCGCCCTAACTCGTGGCCAGGAAACTGAAAGTCAGATTACAGCAGCACATGGGTGCTGCTGGCAGTGAACAGCGGGTCACCCGTCGATCAACTGACATGCGGTGCAGCGTATCGCCATTTATACGCCTGCCCTCGAATATTCCAGTCCCATTACTTGTCGTCGTGCAAGCTCTGAAATAGTCTCGAGTGTTCGTGTCTTGCGCGCAATCTTAACACAGTGATCTACAATGACCGCAAACTTTATTGAACAATGAGGCGCAGTTTGCGCTGAGCATTGCTGATAGGCTTTGTTGGAGAACACCGAATGAAGCAAAAGCGAAAATAAAAAACGCACGTCACAATATAAAAAAAAATTGCTTCCCACAATAACGAAGCTGAAGCGCATACAGTTAATTAAATCAACATGTAAAAAGCTACTAGAGTCGGAAAAAGTCCTGCATAGAGGCATGTGTTTTAAATATTATTTCTTGTCTTGTTCACGTAAAAGACTATGTTATAGACGGGTAAACAAATATTAAAATATGGGCCTTATTTATGAGAATATACTTTATACACTATACAGTATTTCATACAGTAAAAAAATAAACTGTGCCCCTTATTGCGCTCAGTAGTTTCGCGCGTGCTACTTTTTTGTATTTTCATGTGACCGGGCTGGTCCACGTGTAAACACCGCTCGACGCAGGCCGCGTTTACATGTCGGGGAAAAGCCTTGACTGTCTCCTGCTTTTTTTTTCTATAAGACTGCGCGCACGACAAGAGAAGACGAGTTTATTCTGGAACCATTTTTTTTTTACTTTTCCATGCAAAAAATCCTACGTACTCTCTAACAATCACTTTGCCGGCCACCGACGTTCACGCAAGACACAATCATTCCATTGCGACCGTCTTGATTCTGAAGTGAGTGCACATTGTTTTTATGAACCGAAATTCACCCAGTAAAGAGATTGTGACTGTCGCCTTCTTCACCAGTATATTACCATGTGACGGTGTCAGCACTGAACCTTGTTTAGCATTCTCATTGACACACTAGTGTTTTTGCTGATATAGCGATTTTACAAAAGAACTCACACTTGATAACAATAGTACCCCCTAATTGCTGTAGTATTTATAATTTTAAAGTTGTCATCAAAGTTTTATTGCTCTTAATTTACAGGTACGTTGCCCGGTATGTGGGAAAGGACTATAACTATAGGCAGTGCTGGCAAAGCATTCAGTGTCACTGGCTGGAGGGTGAGTTCCCGGATACCCTTTCAACTTCGAGATGGAGCGGCAAATATTTCTTGACTCTTTGAAAATCTAGCTCTTGAAGTCGTGTAATTACCATCGCAAAAAAAAGAAGATTCGGCCGATCGCAAGAATTCTAGGCATAGATTCCATGCGAAGCAGTGAGCGCCCAGCAGTCTGAGCCGACCTGTTTTATGCCAACCTTTACGAGATGGAGTGACGCCATTATGCAAATCGAGTTTTCATGCGTATATCATGGTCTTAGCAGACTAGCCGACAACACTGATGTACTTCCGGCATTTAAATTAAACAGAGATGTCGCTTTTATCACAAAGTAAGGGCTACGGAGCTACGGTGTGCATATCCTAACCGACTATCATCGGCTTAACAGAGCAACGCTCCACTCTACCCGTCAGAGGTGTAGGCATGTGTGTATTGCTTGTTACAAAGATTTAAAAGCGAATATTCACAAATGCAAACACAAATGACGCCGCATGCCCAAACATGAAGCCTACATATCATTTTTTTCCAAAGCCCTGTGAATATTCTGTATGCTGAGTGGTTTAATATTTCGTCACTTACATTAAATTGTGTCTTTAATCCCACATAAGCAAAAAAATATGTCTGGCGGAAAATTTCTCAGCTCCTATGTCACTATCGTGGCCCACCCAGCGTCACGACTAGAAGCAGTAGCGTGCAGTGACGGTACCGTGAAAACCATGACATATCAGTTAAAGTGACTTTTTCTCACAGGCATACTGGTGGCGACCATCCTTTTATATCTTCTGAACTCACGTTGGTATCTTGACAGTGGTGCAAGCCTTCAATTTCGGACCATTCTTTTTTAGAAGCTTACGAGAAATGATTCCCTGCAAAATTAGGTTTTCCTTTGCATACTACAAACGTGGCCTGAATTGGGCTATTAATTGTTCAAGCGACGCCCACCCGTAACGGGGGTCTAGAAGTTTTATATGGTGCTCGACTGCTGACCCTCAGGTCCAGGGATCAAATCCCGGCGACAATGGCTGCATTTTAAATGCAGACTAAAATTTTTGAGGTTCGTGAACTTAGATTTAGGTACACGCCAAAAAGCTTGAGAAGGTGAAAATTTCAAGAGTCCTCCACTACAGGGACTCTCCTAGTCAGAGTGCGATTTTGTGACGTGGAATGCCATCAATTATGATTCAGGCCGCTTCAAGTGCCCGGAGTGCAGTGATCAACGTCTGTCTTCTGTATGGCAGCTCGCGATAGTTCTCCCATTGTAGGAATTGTGCGTACCTGTGAATGCATGCGAATGCTTTCAAGATTCAGTGAAGCCGTTAAGTTTCTCATATTCTTGAGGTGGGAAAAGGGATTGCAGAAGTGTAAACACCAAAATGGTCGACTCTCTGAATTTGAACAACGAGGTAGGGGCAATCCTGAGCTTTAAGTGCCAATTCATTCACATTCAGAGCCCTGTATGCCACAACGAGCCAGAATTAACAAATCCTAGCAGTTTTTTCTTCACTCGCACTAACATCTTCCAGTACAGTGTATTTTCTTTGCACTACTGAATATTGAAACGCTGTGCTTGATATGAACGATCGTACGAATAATCATGACTTTGCGATTATTATATCGCAGTGTTGGCGGTAATGCGTTACAAGCACGTAATTACCAGCAACGCGTTATATTTTCGGTAACTTAGTAGCGTACTCGTTACAATTTTGTAACTCTAACAGGTAACGTACTTACGTTACAATTTTTCGGTAACGTGTAGTGTCTCGTTACTCGCTACTTTTAAATCGTGTAGATGCCACTTTCCCACAGCCCACCTAGATGAATTCTGTTGTCGCACGTCGGACAGCTGTCCGCCTGCAGGCTTTGACAAATAAAGCGAGAGTGGAATTGCCTTTTCAAAGAAATTTTGGATGAAAATTTCCGAAACGCAATGAATTCTTGTGGCGAGATTTTGGCCATTGCCAAAAAAAGCTTCGAGAAAGCCGCGAAATGCACCTTCACAAAGTGTAGAAACGTGATTTTTATAGAAGTGCATGAATTGTAGCAGGCGGATCGCTCGCCCCTGTGTATTCCTGTGCCCAAAGAGGCAGCCCGAAAGGAAAGCGCATGGGCTGGTTTACTTCATACCACGCTTCGTACGTGGAGAAGCAAATAACTTTTTCGAAATCCTACGGCAACCTAAAACCGGTGTCTGCAAGTTACAGTGACAAAGAAGTGCACGCGTTGAGCACAGTGTGGTGAACGATCACCCCATCTAATTGGAGAAGTCCGATATTGTAGACTTGGAGCCCATTTTATATGTGACTTTTTTGTAATCCTAGCCCATCCAAGAGAGAGCCCGTAACTTAACCGGTCCACATGTGCAATATCGAAAAAGAGGCCATCTAAGCGAAATTCTGCACACCATGGACATAAGGCGTCGCCCCATAGCAGGTAGTAAGACCTTTACCAAGAATGCGAGTGAGGCGCTAGAGTTCATTTTTTGCTTTTGAAGTATAAAGTGTTTTTTTTTTTCTCTCGTTAGTTTGGTTGGGTTGGTTTTTCGCTACCCTCTGTGTCAACTAAAGCCTAATAGTAGCCTAATAGTCCCAGGAACACTATGGTTAATCACAGTTAGAGGCAACTACACGGCAGACATGACGAAAGTTTGTCTCCTAACCATGCTCATCACAAACCATGCATGGGTGTAGGCTTATTTTTTTTCGGGAGCTAGGGGGGAACCCGTATGAGCTTGAGTGGGAACCGGGCAGGCAAACGGTAATTTGTTGCTGTATGCCAAGGCGAAACAAAATCACAAGAAGGGGGGCGGGCACGAGCCCCGTTTTCACCCCCTGGTGACGCCACTGTCGCAACCTGGTCAATCCACAAGAGATCAACGCGAATTCAAAAAAGGATAGTTTATATTTGGCAGAGTGTTCCATATTTTATGTTATATTATATTCTAAAACTCAAAAAGGAAGTTTCTTTTTAACTGCATAGTTTATGAGGCGAAAAATATCAAAGATATTGAACACGGAGGGACTAGTTTTCACATCAATGTTTCTCGACGGTTTATAATCATGTAACACACAAATGTTACTGTTAGAAAGAAGACATCTTATGTAAAATATTTGCAAACCAAAGACTGATGAATTTGTTTGAAGCTTGTAGAGAAAAGAAAAGTATTTTAAAAGGTGTATAAATATGCGATATTTTATTTTACTTACTGAAAAATATCTGCCACAACGTTGACAAGAAATATAAGCTTGTTTTTTTAAACAAGCTTTGCTTCTCTCCGCCACTGTAACTACGTTCTTGGTTATTGAACTCCTGAGCCAGCGGGGCTGATCCAGAATACGCTCACATAAGCACTCATAAATTATTCCGGCAATTGCACAAGTGAAAAAAAAGTAGATATGTTTATGCACAAATATATTTGGCTTGTACTATAGGTCATAAAGTCTTTTCTGCGTAGGTCGTCCGCGCTTGCGCGCCGGCGTCAAAGAGGCAAGCACCATGAATTTTTGCGGCCCAAATCAGACGACAGGAGTAAGACAGCAATGACCCAAGAGACATCTGGTGTCAGAAACGTGGAAATGTGAAAAAAGTGCCAGTGCAGGCCTCCGCGATTGCCTACTGACGCACGGCGGGCAATTTCAGAGGCCAAAAACAACCATTTTTGATTTCGATCATCTCGACTGAAGGGCCTGTTCAGACCCTGAGAAAACCAATTACTGTAAACTTCTTGGAAGTTTGGAGATGGTTTCTTTGTGGCTAGCGAGGACGATTGATTCTCAAATTGTCTACAATATCACATAGAAAAAGATGGTATCAGCATGTGCTACAGAATCACAAGCAATCACATATAACCCTACAGGTAAGTAAGTCAGCATAGGACTGGTAAAGTCCGGAACATATGTACGAATAATACTTGGTATATGAGCCTATTGATTATAATCCTTGTTTTGGGTTAAAAGTTGTATGTGAAACTTACATTCGAGATACAAAATATTCCTATTTATGATTGTGTAGCAATGGTAGAGGTAACGTCCGTTACTTTTTTCGGCAACGGTAGAGTTGACTAGTTACCTTTTATGATAATGAGTTACATTTCATTGAGGGTAACGTAGGGCGGCAACACGATGCTATTTTCGGAGTAGCAAGTAATGTATTTAGTCACTTTTTTTCAGTAATGGATGCAACACTGTCATTGCGTGTGCGTTTTAACCACGTTCTTACTTTTTGTAATCTGTTCTATTCTGTATAAACGATAACTATTGTACTCTTATACACGTAGCCTGAAATTTAGATGCAGTATATATACAGAAGCTAATTATTAAAATTAAGTATATGAATCAAGCGCAAGCTCCGAGACTCAGTTCCGTTAGTATTGATTGTGACGACTGTTGATCACTTCGCGAAAGTCTAAGTAATAGCAAGTTCCTGGTGGCCGCGAGAGCAGTGACAAGTATTGTTCGACTTTTATACAGGTAGGCTGGGCTTATGGCCCAAAAAATCTTCTCAAAGGATTGAAGCTAGTGCACCAGCATAGCATCTACACCATGAGCCCTCTCATGCAGGTGAGATAAAACTGCGCATTTATATACAATGTATTTCAAAGGTTTGCGGGGCAGAGCATTTTCACTGAACTCGCAAAAACAGTTGGGCAAGCTGATGCAAATTCATGTTTAGAAAAAATGACACAAAGGAGAGTGCATGACGCACTTTGCTAGGGCGTCATCCTGTTTTATTATTGCTTGTGTGTTGTGATTTTAACGCAATTATTTCAAACATGCACTGTATCCACGGTGATCTCAAGTAGCAGCTGCTTAAAGAAGGTCTCAGACACCTAAACCAAGTGCTCTAGGGCTGCAGTTACAGGCATAAACCAAAAGCGTTGCGTAAAAGAAACGAAGCATGCACCATTAGCAAATTCTTAGGCAAAAGGCAAGGATTCGGAGAAGTTTCGAAATGCAATTTATTGAAAAATTCTACATGCCTGCTGTGCAACTTCCACAACCCCTAAATACCTCCGATATTTTTTTTAACATTTCAAGATAACATACGTAATAAATTTCCAATTTTGTCACAATAAACATTGCAAACGCGCCAGTGATACAAGCCATGAGTGCACCACAAAATGAAAACAGAACAGGCAATTCTGTGCTCTTCTCCGGACCCTTCGCTATCTCCAGCGTTGGTCGAGACATCAACGCGCGCATTTCGTAATGTCAGCAACAACGAGAAGCCATATGCTCGTGGTACGTCCGCTAGCTGCTCTTTCTCTACGAATGGGGAGGACAAACATTTATCCAGAAGAAGACGAGCCATTGATTGGAGGGTACCGATGAAAAGAGTGAAACCAGTACGGGCAGCATTTTGGTCGTCAAACTCGTGTATTTTCACTATTACGGCACCATTACGAACAATCTCATGGCTGAGTGTTCTTTATAGTCCCGCGCACCACTACACAACTCAAATTCAACCTATGTGTGGTCTAGAGCATTTTAATGGCTCAAAATGGCACTGAACGACATGTTATACGACTATAAAGCCTGTGTAGGTGTTTCTCTAATATAATCCAGGAAACTGAATGACAATTTGTGAATTGCATAGTGTGTTCGGCGAAAGCTTGTGGCCCTTCGACTGACCATGAATGCTGTATTTTTTGCGCTCCCGTTTCGCCTTCCTGGCCTTGGTGCCGCGTGATACGTAAGCTGGATGCATGTGCATCAGCTCATTCTTATTATGGTGCTTGGAAGCGAAGAAATCTACATTGCTGAGGCGCTTCTCTGGACCATTTGCCGTTGAATGATCCTTGGGCTGCTCGGGAGCCATATCTGACAAACTCGAATGCTGCAACAAGACGTCTGACGAAGGAGTGTTGCCGTTCACGCAGCTGTGTCGTCGGGTGATTGCTGAGAAAGTGTGAGGGGGTACGGTTGGACTGGATTCTCGGACGCCACCGCTGTGTTGTCACGTCATTATTTAGAGTGGACATGGAAGAGAGCACAGATGTGGCGGCGCAACTGTTGCTATGCGCCGCTGTGCCGTCGCGCGATTGCTGAGAGAGTGTGAGGGCAAGAAGCCACACCTGGCACGTTCCAAGGTACATATGACTGGATGTTCGGACACCGCGAAGATGAGCCGTAAAAGGATTTCACCTAGTTATGTGTATCTGACGCCGACACTTTTACTTTTATTGAGTGCCACCAGCCATGGCATTTCTTGGGCTTCACAGAATGTAGCATATTCTACATTTGCCTATGTTAACTTTGGGAACACTCAATGACTTCGAGACTGGCTTCTAAGAAATCATGAAATTGAAGAATATAAAAGCCGGTGTGTTTCAATGAGTCTAATCTGTGGCTGATTAAGCTTACGAAACATTTCCGACATGTCTTTCTTTTTGCTGATTTTAAGCTTGCGCTGTTTATTCCGTTTATATTCAGCTACAGGAAAATGAGCACAAACGCTAGTCATTTGAAATTGCAGGCTCTTCATAAGTAAACTATGTAAAACGGCTGAAAAGAGAAAGCAAGCATGAAATTTGGTTCAGTTCGGAATTTCTGTTCCAGGGACTGTTCCTGCGAAATTAATTCGTAAAAAAATTGCAGCAAATGCAAGGACATCAGTGCTAGTTCAGACTGCATATTGTAAGGAAGGCTAAGTTCCTTTCGGAGCTCTTTCGCGTGTCAATTACCACATACAGTGAACAATAGATGTCTCAATTGCCAACGTTTCGGCAAGGACAAATATACGATGATGAGAATGTGTGTGGTAGTATAAGTTATCTTATTCGTATTTACTTTTAGAAAATATTTTGGCTGATTTCATCTTGCATGACTTGAACATTACACTTGGAAATTCATGACGCCTATGGTAGAGTAAAAACGAAATTCATTTTCCATTCAGAGAATAGAAGAATGCAAGAAATAAATGCAGAAGTATTTTGTTTGAATACCTTCGAACTTCCGTGACATTGCTATTTGGTCAGTGCTAAGTTATTTAGAACCTAAGTTTTGATTTAGAAGAAGTGAGTGCAGCAAAAAAATTACTTTGCTGGAGGCAATACAACGTACAAGAAGATGCATATTGAAGTGCTAATGTGAGTTTTTATCATACTTGAAAACCCACCGAGCGAAGCAGTGCACTGACAAAGCTGTCACATACATGTACTGCTTTCTTCTGCCAACACTTTCACTGTGTAAAATTGAATACTGTGAAGGCTGCGAAACAAAGTTGAAGCTTGAAGTGCCATTTTTTGCTGTCGGAGTTTCAAGTTCCTAATACATTTTCCGCTAAGATTCCTGCTTTAGTGCTTTTTTGTTGTAGAGTAACATATACACTGAACAAGATATATTTCTGTTCCCAACGTTTCGATGAGGAGAAACAGGATCTCTAGTGAAAATATTATGTAAAAAAAAACACGACAGGAGCGATTTCCAACATCTTTTTTCAACCATTCTTAATCATTCCAAGGAATATTCTACATTAAACCACCTGAAAATGATTTTCTTGTTTAGATACGCCACACATCCACTTTGACATGTTAATAGGTCATATGCTAGTCTCATTTGTTTCATGTCTCATTTTTTTACACTGCTCATGAGTAAGGAAGCAGTGGCTGTAGGTATTGAGAAAGAGATGGACCGGATAGGACACCCGGAAGGATATTGGAGCATCCAGTCGCATTCTCTACAGCAGAAGCGCGATTTCATCACAAAATCCCTGGAATCTCTTGATGTGGCTGTCACCATACCGCAAGGAGCTTACTTCATTGTCTGCGACTTATCTCTTCTAGGTGAGAGTTAAGGCTCAGTGCCAGTTTGTCAGAACTTTGCCATTATGCAAATTGAACTGCTCGAAAGGAGTGGCATCTCCGCCTACTTAGTGGATAAGCATGCATAGTGGCGTCTTCAAAAGTGGGTATCAGACAATAGCAATAGTGAATACTATATTAGTGACTGCTTCCACGCAATGCCGAACAGTATGGAATGCCAAAACAGATCGGTGAACATCCTCCTACGATATTGAGAGAAACTGGGAAACTATGAATTAAAGCCGCAACTCACATTGGACTTCGACCTAAGCTGAATGAAACTAGTTACTTCAGCACTCAGTACGCTTTCGTATATCGTAGCAACCACATTGTCTAGGCGTATCTGTTTTTGCGCCTCTATAATTTACGACACAAACTCAAGACGATATGATATGAGCATATAGCCCACCCATGAAGTTTCTCCAGGATGCACACATGGCTGCATCTATTCAGAAGCAATATTTTTAACACTCGGCTTTGCACCAACTGTATTAAAGACTGCCATATTATGCCAGCTGGTTTTCTTTCCAAAGAGGAAGTCATCCAGCATAAAAGTGTGCGCATGTCAAGGCATAAAAGTCGTATTAAAAGCATGTATCTTCTATTTTATAAGGTTGTGGCTCCCATTCTGCTGCTGGACGTTAAGCGCCACCACTGAACCACAATAATATATATAAATGTATTTCCATCTAAGCTAATTTATTAGGTCAGCAAGCTACTGTACATTTATTGCGATTAATTAAGAATTACTGAGCATACGTACACGAAGAGGACATTTATACTCCTAATTCAGAATCACAACTTAGGTGACAGGAGTCGAAAACTATTACTTATGTATATGTATGTGCATATGTATTACTTATGTATATGTATATGTATATGGCAATAACTTAGCATTTTTCTGGAATATCTCTCGAGACTATTCCTTGGTGTATAATCCCACCTTACAAAACTTTCAAGCTGTTCTGCAACAATTTTGCACGTAACAATCGATTGGTTTCACTGAAGGAGCTCACCGTCACATTTTTTTTAGAGTCAGTCAAGTAAGAGCACAGTTGCAGAGATTTGTCGCACGCTGATTGCTTTCTCTCTTCTCTTGTTCTTGCGAGTGCACTCGAAGCTAAGCAGGATAGGATTGCACTGAGAACAGAAGTGCGGCCTTTTCTGATCTTGAAACATCTTTTTTCTTTCTTAGAAGGTGAGGCTTACATATTTAATGTGGTCACGAGCGAGTGCGTGGAAACGTGGTGGCCTCGTGCGGCAGCCATTATGATTAAGCAGCGAACGATGTTGAAATGAGCCAATGGTTGTGGATTCCGGTATATAAGCGGTCATTTGGCTGATGGTATCATTTCAATATTAGTTGAAAAAAGAGGTATGCTTCCTAGCTGCTTTTAAAAATTGGTCGTAAAATCTTTGCCACGTGCGGCGCTTTATTTTTGACTCGTGTGTTCTTGAAGCCTCAAAGACCAATTCGTAGGTATTTTTTACAATGTTTGAAATCTCTCGCAGGGCCCGTTCTTGTTTTCATTTTGTAGATTTTTTCATTAGGGTGTTTCACTATCTTGATACGATGCGCTCTTTCCTTCTATAAGCACTAAAACTGGAATTACAAGGCGAGAAGGAACAACTCCAGCTCACGCAGTGGCTGCGCAAAAAAAAGGTCTGTAGATCATATTCTCCCATGTTAATTCACGACCATTGATGTGTCCCACGCCTAATGCATCTTAAAAATTTTTCGGCATTGGTACCCATTTGCCATTGTACTAAAACATTGCACTGTAGGACGCAATTTATATTACTTGTATTTCCAGTGATTGAAGTGAAACGGGAAGGAAACAAGAGAAAAAAAATAATAGGCTGGGAGCACGCTGGGCATACCTGTTGTCGATTGTTGCTTTTATATTTCCCTTCAAGTGCCGGAAATGCATGGAATGGCGTAACTCTTATCAATCAAATCTCAGTGAAGTAAATTTGCAATATTTGTGCTGCCACTTGCACTACAAAAAATCTGTAATCAGAGAGGCAGGGAGGACAGCATGTGTTTGGTCTATGCAGTTTGGGAAGAGGAAGGGCAGTGCCTGGTTGGATCTCTGAATGTATAACGCAATGACTCATTAGCCCAATGTGAATGACACTTAACACCCTACATTTACGAGATGGCTGACTGAATGATCATCCAACTAACATATACAACTAATTTTGGGCATTCTTTTGACACTATTCAGACATACGATGGAGATAGACTTGACCTGAAAGCCTTCACTCTTGTTTTATAGCACTCGGCACTCCTATTTTACGCATTACCTCCTAGTCCTATAGCATCAACTTAACCTGGGGGTGCTAGTTAATCTGTTTTTTTGTGCTGTTCTTGTGTCGAAAAAGAAGAAGAAAAAGAAGAAACTTTATTTCAGGGAAGGAGGGATGAGGAATTCAGGAGCTAACTGGTTGGTCCAGGGCTCCACCTGCGACCAGTGGGCCTTATGTAGTATCGAGAATTATGTTTCAGGGTTCCAGCTGGCGAGACAATCCTCCCACTTCTGCTTTTTATTGTCTATAATATGGTTTAGGAAGTTATCTAAGCCTTCTAGTTATTGTTTACACCCCCATGAGATGTGAATTGCGTTGACCTGCCGCCACACCACAGACAGACGTCCTGGCGCAGCACAGGATATATTTTATGCAGTTTTAAGTTTGCATACACGTTCACCTAGATCTTCCGAAGATCTGACGCATCTTCGCAATGTAAAAATTTGTGAGGAGTGCCATATGTTTTTAGCGTGTCCCGCTGTTGAGCGAGAATATCATTTGGCCTTGTCAAATGAGGCTCGTGAGCCAGAAGCAGTTGCTCTGCTCGGTTAGTGAACTGTCGTGCTAGAGTATGCGCCCTCTCATCGCCTTCGAGTTCAGCGTGTCTCGGGCACCAAACCAGCCGGTGGCGCTGGGTCAATGCAAGTCCCAGTATTTATGAACTGTTGTAGGCAGGTAATACAATCACTAAACATCTCAATGCATATATGCAAAAGAATGGCGCCTTTCTCTGCCAATGGCAGGTGTTTCAGCAATGTTTCCTTTTACGAAAACAAATCCAGTGCGATTGATACAGTATCTTCTAAATCCAACATGAGTATAAGGTTTTGGCGCGTAATTTGTAGAGCAGCGGTAGGCTTGATTGATTAACTTATGTATTGATTGTATTGATTAACTTGTGCCAGTTTTATAGAGTGCCCTCAGAAGTGCGCATGTTCCTACTTATTCGAGCCTGTTCTCGGTAAATCTGAACGATGCTTTAGAAGGGATGCGGAACAAGCTAATGATACGTTTTTGTGCCTCTTGTCTCATTCGTCTTTACAAAATTCACCCTTGCATACTGCAAGTACATGTGAGTGTGACGAACGGATGCATATTTCAGAAGCTGATGGCATCTCCTGTTAGCGATTACTTCAGTGCAAAGACCAAGCCTCGTGTGACGAATTTCATACGGATTTGTTTCGCGAAGGTTGGTATGAATGCGTACTTTTTCTTTACAATACTTGCATTACGCTCTCAACAGATGCAGCACGGCTTTGTGCAATGAACCTTAAGTAAAGATAGTTAAACTTCTGAGTAGAGCATTGCATAACTTGACATCGTCGCTTTTTTAGATCACGCAAAGGCATAGAGCTTCCAGAAAAATGCTTTAAAAGTTTTTTGAATTTAAGAAATATTGCATCACTTGAATCCTAGGCACGTATTAGATTATATCGGTACATGTTTTAAAATGCTTATTTATGTAATTAGACGAGCGTTTTTGAATAACGGGCCATTTATAACACAACATTAAGGTTAATAATTTTTCGATGCATTTATTTGTTCCAAAAATCTTGTGGTATTAAGAAAATAAGCTAATAAGAAATTGGTTCACTTCGTACTTCAAGAAAGCCAAGAACTGTTACTTTGAACTTATGTTCAGTACTACATCAATGAATCGTGTGACAATATGGAACCTAGTTCACGAACTAGTGGGAAAGCAACAGAACATAAACACTTGTTTTTTTAACAATAGAGAGCGTTGAATATATTGATACGGCTCTCGCTAATAAATTGGGAGAAAGGGACACTCAGCCTAGTGCTTTTTAATGCATTCTGAAAATTTTGTAAACATTGTCTGCTCAAATATTTTTTTATTACCTTGCCTGGAAACAGAGGTTTATCACGTCGTTAAGGCACTGAAGTAAAGATGCTGCATTAGGAATAGATAATATAAAAGCAGTTCTATTTATCGCGGTTGCTCATAATAAAACCGCTCTCTTATGCCTTCTCTCTAAAATAGATTTTACTAAATAGATATTTCATAATGCAATGAAAAAAAAAACTAAATTGATCGTACTGAATGAATGGGACCCAGCAAATCATAAATAACTATCAACCAGTATCGGTACTTCCAATTTTTTCAAAAGTGCTTGAGCTTTCTTGAGTGCAGACTTAGTTCCGCGATGACGCCCACGCCCTTGTAGATCAGGAGTCTGGCTTCCGTGAACATAGGTCTCTCAAAAACAGGTCTTGTCGAGGTGAAGGAAAAAATTCTTAGCGATTTTGAAAACAAAGATATACACTTTTGGTCTTCTATTTGACCTCAGAAATGTTTTGCCTCAATTATTTTATATTCTCATATTTAATAAATTAACGTGCTGTGGAGTTTGGGAGCTTTCTCTTAGCATGAATAAAAAATTACTTGACCTCGAGATCACACTACATATGTTTTAACAGATTCTGTTCACAAATGAAATAAAGAACTCGTGGGGTCCCACAAGGACAAATATTAGGTCCTCTTTTATTGTATTATATAAACGACATTGTTAACATAACCATTACTGCAGACATTGCTTTGTACTCTCATGATACAAGTTTATTTCTTTCTGGTAACAGTCTACGTGGGCTCGACTCAGCAGCTAATGCTTGGCTAGATACTTCATAATTGGCTTTCTGGGAGCCAAGTACAGCTGACTGCCCATAAAACCAAATATTTTGTTTTAAGCCTGTAAATACACAGGACGAAATTTATATTTTTATAAGGTTTATAAAGCTGTGATTGAACGGACTTCAGTTTTTAGTTTTTCGACGTTCTCTTTGACGAAAACTTGAGTTTCACGCAATGTGTCATGAAGCTTCATTCCAGCATCTGTAACTCAGCTGGTACATTGTTTAGGATCAGTTACTTTGTTGCCGTTTGGTTAAAACGTCGTTTGTATCACGTATTATTCAATCTCACCCAAGTTACTGCCCACTGATTTGGGGAACCACAGGCCAATCACATCTGAATCGGCTCACAAATCTTCAGAAGCAAGCAGTTCACTCTATAGAAAACCTTGGATACCATGGTCATATGGCCAATGTATTCTTAAACTTGACATTTTGAAAATTACTGATCCATAATATCGTAGGCCCGCAATATACGTATGACGTGAACTGGAGAAAATTAGAACTCTTTTTCTACAAAAGTACCTAAAAACTAACACTGAATACAATTTCGGACACGATATGTTTAGAATTCCTTTTTGAAGAACATCATGAGGTACGAAGCAGTATACCTACGTAATTCCATCTTTAATGAATGCACATTCCAGTACTGCCAGTATGGCGCTAAACTACAAGTCTCAACATTATTATAGCATCATAGAGTACCTTCTTTCTGTTAGTGACTGAACTAATCACTAGGTCTCTTTTTTTGGACGCATCGTTTTGGTTCAGTGTTGTATGCTTAGTTACTTTTGTAGTTTGCTACATTGTCAGTACCACTTTGTGCTTGTAAATATTTTTTGTTATTTTAAATACCAATAGCGTATACAAAATATTTGTTTCTTGACAGTGTACTGTTGGTTTTTTTCTGTCAATAACATGTAATATATTTATGTTTGCCATAGATTATCTTACTCTATTGCACGAACTTTATATATCATCTTGTATTCTATGCAACTGCATGCTGCCGCACTGTTGGAGCAATGTATGGATGGGAATGTCCTATTTAGACAACCAATGTTCTGCCTTTTTTCTTGCCATCTTGACTCACTCTGTGACTGAAATAAATAGGCTATCATTATTATTATTATTATTATTATTATTATTAAACTTGAAGCGCGTCATTGGGGTTGTTCATACGCTATCCTAGACAAACAAAATGCTGATGCTGCTGGCTATTTTAGCCTAATGAATTTCGCCAAATGTCACCAAATCACAGAAAATGACGCCCTTAGCATGACTTGACCATTAGAATGACCTTAGCATCATCGTGAGATCCATGACTGTTCAAGCCTCACCATTGGATGAGTATATATGACGTGAGAGAGCGCTGCGTGATAGTCTATCGCTTCAGGCTAATCGAACGCATTCTTGCAAACACCATGTATAAGCAGGCAGTGGAGGTCTAATGAAGCCTTTTCACTCTTTTGTTTCATATACTCAAGGACAACTCAACACTAAAAAAAGCTGCTGATATACTGCAAAGATTGAAGACAAGTACGAGTAGCTGTTAGTGTACAACATAGAGTGCGAGTGCACAGTGTGGTCTTCCAGTAACAGTAAGGCATTACTGACCTCTGAAGAACTTGGCTGACTTAATAAAGTTACAATTTTTTCTCAAAAAAGTAGCACATGTTAATTTTAGTTTATATATATAAATATATATATATATATATATATATATATATATATATATATATATATATATATATATATATATATATATATAAACGAAGTTTGGAAGTTCATGTCAGTATAACTCATCCCCTGATGAAGGGAGGACACCTCCTGAAACTGTTGGGAAATAAATATATTTATCCTTGTTGACAACGCTCCCGTTGTGCCATATACCATATATGTATATATATATATATATATATATATATATATATATATATATATATATATATATATATATATATATATATATATATATATATATATATATATATATATATATATATATATATATATATATATATATATGAGGTGTCGCCGAGGCAACTGCAACCTACCATTGGTACGTCACTGCAACAAAGAAGCAGGACACTTCAACAACTTTCACCGTGGCTTTTGCCGAAAATCCAGACTGGTGTTTTACGTAGAACACTAATTAGAATGGCGACCTCCCAGCCGTGTTCTTGCAGATGACGGACTTAATCTAAGTTTTGGGGGTGGAGCACTGTTAGCATGCCGTGTTAGACAACTATGCTTCTACACCCCGAAAAATATGGCCTCGTCTATGTGGAATGACTGCGCGCTTTATTGTGTCGTCACCTGGTAAATCCGCTACAAGTGGTTCTACTGGTAGAATACCTTGTGTGGTACAGCCACCAAGAGTGCCCGGCCATGTAGCGATGCCAAACAGGAGGACAAACTTGAAGCATTCATCTGACCAAGACAGAACATACGACCCGTCACGACAAACTGTGTTGTGCTAATCAGCTCCCGCATCACCTACGACGACAACGCAGTGCTCCTGCCAATGGGACAAACTGACCACGAACCACTAGCTTACGTAAGAGTGCTTGCCCTAAGGCATCTCACCATTTTATCGGAATACTCAAAATTATCGAAAACCATACTCATTGCGATATACATGCTTCCACTACGAAAATGTACAACCATCAGCATTTTGAAAACGAACACTTCGATGGGTGACCAGGGCTACTTTGGTTGACGCTAGCCGCGAAGTGCTGGGCGCTTTTGTCGAGATAATACTTTGGTAGGCTTGGACAGTACGCCACTATGAATGGTTAGCATCTTTGCAACGGAATTGAAACGTACGTGAGGTCAGCGTCAATCAAACTGCTGTAAGACACGTGGTGGAGCGTTCGTGTTAAAGGTGCTTACGACTGTACGTCGCGAATGCGACTGCGCCTAAAAGTTTGTGCCTGGTTTTAAAACATGTGATCTCTGAAATGTCGAGTGCACATTTTGCTAGGAGGAATGAGACTCCTAAATGGGCTTCTCTTGTGTTAACTAATATCGTTTATAATCATTATGAATCATTCCCGAACGTTACTTCTAAGAAGGAAAAACAACGGCGTGCCACCCATGTTCTTAGCACTGACGAAAACAGTGCGCTTCATTCGTGTGAGAAGAAAAAGTTGAATAAAGTTACCTTCATCAAGCAGAAGAAAATGGCTTGAGATAACATTTCAGCTATGTTTCATTGCGAAACACACAGAAACCTTTAACGCTCTGAAATCGAAAAAACGCGCACACCTCAAACCAATATAGTGAATTTATCAAGTTACCAGCTAACTTTTGAATAATCCAGGCTTTTGTCACTAAACGGCTGAACTTTTGTCCCGCAAATAGAGGCTACAATATATTCCAGCTCATTGTCTATCTTCACAACTTCGAAAGATACATGCGATTGCGCGAGTGCTTCTTTATTAGCCAATTGCCTGAACAAATCAGTTCCACGTTACCTATATACTGGTAAGTATTGGACTCCGCCTTCACAACAGCATAAATGCCTCGACCTATACGTACAAGCTGTAGAACAAGATATACTTAAAGAGTACAAACATCGTTTGTCTTTATGTTACAATCTCAGCTTGAAAGAGGTTCAGGCAATTGAGGCATTGGCAAGCCGCAGCGATATTGTATATAAGTAAGCCGGCAGATAAAGGTGGTGCTGTTGTGCTTATGCATGCTAACAGCTACATTGATGAAATCCAGAGGCAACTTTGTTATACGATATACTACAAACGCCTTAGCAATGACCCAACACAACAATTCAGATGCACTGTCGGTGATGTCGCCTAACTTGTGAAAGAAAACAAAATCGCTCAATCTCCGTTGCGTACGCTTCTTCGCCTGTGCACGGAGGCGAAAAGGTTTTACACCCTGCCGAACATTCACAAAGAAAACAATTCTGGTAGATCGATTGCGTCTGGAATAGATACGGTTAATGAGAATATCTCATGCTACGTTGATGTCATTATCTGTTCCATTTGCGTCACACTTTCTTCATATATCAAAGACACGAACGATTTTTTAAACAAATAAAGGATTTAGATATTACTGTTGGCTCTTTTTAGGTGATTCTTGATGTTTGCTTTTTGTACATTATTGTTTCGCATTGTGATAGTATCAGGGCTGTTGTGCGCGCGTAAAACAAGCCTGATTATGACAAAGCAATTAATTCATCCACACTAGTCACTCTTCGTAACTTATTTCGCGAATTAAACGATCTTGAGTTCAATGGTCGAAACTACGTCCAGGGTATCTATGGGCACTAGGATTGGCCCCAAGTGCGCAAATATTTTTATGCCCTCCTGGGAAACGAGTTTCTTTTCACGCCGTGACTTGAGGCCTTTTTACTACAAACGTTTTATTGACGATATATTTTTAATATGGCACCATGGCGAAACCTAACTTCTTTCTTTCATCTAGTATTTCAGTTTTTACATCCAAATATCTAGTTTTCACATTCATGTTCAGCCATGAGCGTCAACTTTTTTCACACCATCAAAAACTGACCACGAAGCTGTACAGAAAACCAATCGACAAACATCAATGCCTTCATTTATAAAGTAGCCGCACAAAACACTGCAAAACCAGCAATCTGTACAGTCAGGCCATTCGTTCTAAACGCATCTGCTCTGACAACAGTGACTTCGTTCGCAACTGCGTCTAGTTGCCCTAACAAGAAAAAGATTTCCCACACGAATCAATGACGACGCCTTCAAGAAAGCGGAAAACATTGACCGGAAGGATTTGCTCACGGGTAACAAACCACCAGCAAGCTCTTCACGTAACAATGTGAATCGCGCCCCGCCGTAGTGGTCTAGTGGCTAAGGTACTCGGCTGCTGACCCGCAGGTCGCGGGATCGAATCCCGACAGTGGCGGCTGCGCTTCCGATGGAGGCTGAAATGTTGTAGGCTGGATGCGATCGGACTTGGGTGCCGGCTCAAGAACCCCAGGTGGTCGAAATTTTTGGAGCCCTCCACTACGGCGTCTCTCATAATCATATGGTCGCTTTGGGACGTTAAACCCCGCATAATATTATCATAAACACTTCGAATCTCATTTTAACGCACTCAGCATCAGCTCCAAATGTTACCAACATCCTCAAAAAACACCACAATATCTTGTTCGAAGTGACCTCTCAAAAGACATGTTTGCGTAACTACCCAGGGAGGTTTATCACTGATCGCGAAACCTGCGTGATATACGTTAACTTTGTTCAGAATAAACATCAGATCCAACTATGTTGACTGCATCCTTGATATAAACCCCGTTGTAAGGTATTCCCACACAAGATAACTTCGCACTGCGTAACTATCAGCGCTTCAAGATTTATAATGAGCATCACCGGAGACTTCCCTTGCGACCGTGTCAATGTTGTCTACAAACCTCAGTGTTCCACATGCCATCAGCAATACATCAGTAACACCGAAACGTCATTCAGATTACGCATTAACTGCCATAGAGCCCACGCTTCTAACCTCCCTCGTCTTTCACTATCAAAACATGTCCAGATGCCAGGTCACTCCTTTACAAAAATCAATGCTAGCTTACTACAGTCTGTATTTATATCTCATTATGATTAAAAGTTCATGAATCCCAGCTCATCAATGATTTGAGCAGCGCAGGCATAATAAAAGTATCGGACGTGTCAGCTTTTTTTTTCTGGGTAACAAAGTTTATCATATTCATACGCTAGCCTGTTCTATTATTAATTGCCTGTTATGATATTTGTATAGTGACCATAGTGACTTGTAAAACTTTGCTTGGTGATCTTTCAGTACTTTTTTTGTGCCGTGCCAAAATAGGTGAGCATAATATTTGTTTTTCCTCGCATGTCACCTTAATCTCTCGTGTCTTTTTTGCGGCTTAATCATCGTTTTACTGGTTTATATGTTTGACTGATGCAATGGCTTCCTATTCATATGTTCCTTGAATTGTAGCACATATCTTGTTACATGAGGTGACAGATCTAAATGTATTGCCACCGATCTTTGTTTTAAAACTTCTGACGTTTTTGAGAAATCAGGGGCCCTTAAAACTGGCATATGCCTTGTTAACTTTTCATTCTCTGACGAAACGTAAATCGATAGAAGAACTGCTTGCTTTCTCTTACGTGCACGAGCCTCTTATTCGTACCAGACCCACTGAAGTTTCCCACATATATATATATATATATATATATATATATATATATATATATATATATATATATATATATATATATATATATATATATAAGGGAAAGAAGTGTATACCTAAGGGCTCGTTTTTCCGTGTTTTGACACAATATTAATGAGATCTAACAGACAGTAATGCCAAGGAATGTACAGGAGAAGTTATTAGAACCAATGGAATGTAAATTGAAAGAAAGAAAAGTGGATGAAAAAATAACCAGCCGTGAGCAGGAAACGAACCTACGACATTCGAATAACGCGTTCGATGCTCTAACCACTCAGCTACCACAGCAGCCTTCCCTCCATCCACTTTTTTGGGTTTATATGTGAATTTAGAAGTAGGAGTGACAGTCAGCCTATCTATAAGCCAAGCGACGAGTGTGAACCACTCTTTTATGCGCATGTTTGGCGTCACGTAGCACGTGAACTTATTACGAGTGGGCAGCTGATTAATAGTCCCTCGTAT